GCGACACATGGAATGCGTAGGAAAGGGTATTAATAAGCTGTTGTGTGCCACTTATGGGACCCACCAATTCAGAATTGGACAAAAATAAGAATAAAGAAAGGTCTAAACGTCTGATCGTCTGCGGTTTAATGGTCAGCAAATAGTTCGTTACCTCTAAAGTGGATGGAGGGACGGTATTATGTATTTTTTAATAGTAGAGGGGGAACATGTGAAGGTAAATAATAGTAGAAGAAGGATATGAGGTAAATTAATAGTAGAAGGTTTTAATTAAACTTTTTTTTAATAGTGGAGGGATGATAGTTGGCATCATCCCTACATTTGTATGGAGTTGCTTTTTTACTAAATTGCCATGCTTTTGGCTCTCGGCCTTTTAACGTTGCAAGGGTACTAATGTCTTTTCCACTTTTTGCATGGGTCTATCGTGAGTCGCAGTTGCATTCGGTTGTGCTCTTTTTTTTTTTTTTCAATTGGTTTCTGTTTTTTCCTTTTTCCTATTCTTTTTCCTTTATTGAGTTTTGCCCATTCTAATAGTTTGATTTGAACTGCTCTTCCCTTTTGTTTGATGAATTTGGTATTACTTTTGTGGTTTGGCAATGAGGCTTCAGACTGATAGAGAAAGAGAAGAAAATGCAGCAATAAAAGGAGTTTTTAAACTGGAAAATACTGCTATGAACTGATACTTTATTTCACTAATAATAGCCTTTATAGAGGCGGAAGACATCAACAATACAACCAAATAAATAGCAACTAAATCCTAAAAACAAGGCTACATAGCTAACATGCACACTGAGACGTTTTTGCACTAAGTCCTAAAGAGTAACAAACAAATAAACTGGTTCCTAGATAATAGGTGACAGTAAGATTTATTCAAAAATGAAAACTGCAATAGGATTAGGATTAACAAACCAACAATTCCCCCTTAATCCTGATCCGGCAAAGTGGTCATTCCAAGCATACTCCTTAATTTGATAAAAGCTTCAAGCTTCAAACTTCAAAGGTTTGGTGAGGATATCTGCTATTTGGTTTTTCGATTTGCAATAAACCAACTCAATTGCTTTCTTGCCAACTTGATCTCTCAAGAAATGAAATCGGACGTCGATGTGTTTGCTTCTTCCATGTGTGATAGGATTCTTTGCAAGTCTATTGCAGAGACATTATCAACAAAAATCTTCATTGGTTCCTTCATTGGAGTATAAATCTGGTTCATTAAATTGAGCAACTAGATTGCCCAACATGCACTTGATGCTGCAGCAACATACTTTACTTCACAGGTTGATAGAGCAACAACAGATTACTTTTTTGATGACTAAGAGAAACGGGTAGCACCAAAATTGAAACAGTATCCAGAGGTGCTTTTTCGATCATCTAGATCTCCAGCCCAATCACTATCTGAGTAGCCTACAATAGCACAATTGTCTGTTGAAGAATAAAACAAACCATAATTAAGAGTACCTTTCAAGTACCTCATGATTCTCTTGGCTACTTGGATATGAGATTGCTGCGAATTTTCCAAGAACCTGCTAATTAGGCCAACACCATAAGAGATGTCTGGTCTTGTGCATGTAAGATATCTCAAATTCCCAACAATTGTTTGAAATAAGTTGAATCAATTGGTGCCCCTTCTCCATTTTTTGACAATCTTGTACTAACTTCCATAGGAGTTCTTACACAACTACAATTTTGCATATGGAATTTCTTCAAGAGTTCAGCAGCATAGCTTTTTTGGCAGATAAAAATCCCATCTTTTCTTTGAATTACTTCAATGCCCAGAAAATATGACACAAGCCCAAGATCAGTCATTTCCAACTCACCCATCATGGACTTCTTGAAATCTTCGATCATTGTGGGATTATTGCTTATGAATATTAGATCATCAACATAAAGACACAATAGCAATATATCACCAAAATTGTTAATCTTCACATATAAAGCATGTTCTGAGGGACACTTCTCGAAACCAGCTTGGAGGAAAAAGGAATCAACACACTTGTTCCATGCTCGTGGAGCTTGTTTGAGACCATATAATGCTTTCTTCAACCTGTACACCTTATCTTCACTACCTTGTTTCATGAATCCAGGAGGTTGCTTGACATATACCTCTTCTTCAAGTGGGCCATTTAGAAAAGCTGACTTCACATCCATTTGATGGATTTTCCATTGATTTTGTGCAACCAAACCAACTATAAGTCTAATGGTCTCCATTCAAGCAACAGGAGAAAAGACTTCTTGAAAATCATAGCCAAGCCTTTGCTCAAATCCCTTTGCCACCAATCTCACTTTATACGTTTCTACCTCGCCATTTGACTTCACCTTTGTCTTGAAAACCCACTTGACATCAATTGCTTTGTGAGCTTGTGGAATATCAGTAAGAACCCATGTATTGTTCCTTTCAATTGCCTTGATCTCCTCATTCATTGCATTTACCCATCTAGAATCTTGAATTGCCTCCTCAAATGTCATTGGTTCACTATCTACAAAGAAAGCAAAGTGTACCAATTCTCCATCATCAAGAGTTACCTCGTAATCTTGCAAGCATATTGGTGGTCAGCATTGTCGCTGTGGCCTTGTAGATTCTGTCGGGGCTTGCGCTGAGGAGGTTTCTTGAGCATAGCTTGAAGAGGCTTCTTCATTTGTGGTGGGATTTTCAGCTACTTCTTCAAGAACAGAAATTACTCGATTTTGAGGGCCTTTATGGGTATTAGCATCCGATTTCCAAGCTTCTTCTTCAGCAAATGTTACATCTCGACTGACAATCACCTTCTTTGTCTTAGGATTCAACAGCTTGTACCTTCCACGCTTGTAGCCAATAAAAACTATCTTCTCTGCTCAATCATCTAGCTTTGTCCTTGTCTCAACTGGAACATGAGCATAAGCAACAGACCCAAACACCTTAAGATGTTTCACACTTGGCATGAAACCGCTCCAAGCTTCTACAGGGGTGATATTTTGGACACTCCTTGTTGGAGATCTGTTCAACAAATAACAGAACAAGAAACAACTTCACCCCAAAATGAATTGGGCATTCCTTTTGCCTTCAACAAGCTCCTCATTATATCCATTATGGTTCTGTTCTTCTGTTCAGCAACTTGGTTGTGTTGCG